CTGGAGTAATGTTTTATATATATGTTGACTTTTCTCCAGAAGTTAATCAAAAGAATTATAGTTCACATGAATATAAAAGTAATATATTTAGCTATGAAATTTATTGGATTTTTTCACTAAATAACTCGTAATTAATATAATTTTAAACAATCCGTTAGAGAATGTGTCATTAAATAAAATTAGCATACAAAACTTTTTAATATTTAGCTATACAATTGCTAATTCTTATATTTTAATAGTGGTAGGAGGATGAATATATTGAACATTACACAAAAGAATGGAGATATTTCAAAATAAAATAAATTTTAACATTAAAAATTTTGTAGCTTATTTATCCCTATAAAATATTGGTTTGGTATCGTTAGATATGGAAACAGAAAATAATCTCTATTCTTTTAAACTTTTTTGAATTATTTAAATTTATGAAGAAAATTAATGGTTTTGGTAACCAAACAAATTATTTTTTTTTAAAAAATAATCTTTGTGGGCCAAACATGACTTAGTCTTCTTAAATGATCTGTTTATTATTATTTAAATTTTTTGATATTAGACCATATGAAATTCGATTACTCTTTCTCCAAGGCGTGTCATAGTGGTGTTACATGTGTAACAGAATCGAATTAAAATTTAAAATTTATGATTTTTATTTTATAATTGAATTTATGAATCGATTTAATTATTGAATATATAATTAAAAAATTATATATATTTAATAAATTTTCTGATATGAATACAGAATTACAAAAATAAAAATTATTGAATTCATAAATATTCATATATAACATTATAAGTTTGTCTCTGATCATAATATTTGAATGATAACTAGCCAACTCCATTTTTAAAAAGATTAAACAATATATCTTATATTTAAATATATAATATATATTGAGCATGGACCATATATTATAGAATGAGTCGAAATTAAATTAGTTAATTTGCCAATAGTGAGAGCAGACTGTTGCTACTTTTTACATTAATATTTCACAATATATTATATCTGCAGTGGTTTTTGATCAACTGTTTTTGTTTGACACCTTATGTTTTTTTAAAGAAAAAAAAAAGTCATTTCTAAATTACTTTAATTTTCTTGAATTTATTCTCACTTTTAGCTAGTAAACAATTAGATAAATATTTTTATGATTAGATTATAAAATTATTTCACTTTAATTTATTAAAAAATGTTTTCTTTTAGTGGGGTCATCAACTCATTATCCATTGATTTGGTGAGGTTTGTGTGGCCTTGTTTTTCAAAAGTCAAACCCAATTTTTATCTAGACGTGCATTTTTAAAGTTAAGTTATTCATCTGACATATTCGTATCAAGTTAAAGTATTAAACTGTTAGTTCACGACAAAAGTTAAAATGTATATCTAGCCTTCTGTCTTTTATATATAATGTAATTTTATAACAAAAGATTTCCTCCAAACCCCCTTCGGCCACCCTTCTAGCTCCAACCCTGCCTATAGGGGCATCATGGTATAAAACATAATAACTACGTTTCATTTTATTTGGCTTATTTTTTTTAGTTTGTTAAAAAGAATATTTTTTTTCTTTTTAAATAACATAATCTTTAATTTTAACTTTTTCATATAATAACGTTTAAGACCACGAAATTGTGTAAAATTAAAGTATAACAAACAAATTGAAACAGAATAAGTAAAAGCGTACCTACCTCACAAAGACTTTCTTGAAAATTGAAGTGAGATACACATGAACATTTAATTCAAGAAGATTAAATTGTAAAGTGAGTAATGTCCTTGTCAATTTCTTTTGACTTCAACCAAATCTCTGGTGTCTAAAAATTTATTATTAGTATCATGTCAATCAAAAGTCATTTTTTGAATAATACAGGTATTAATTCTTTCACACTGAAGCACACTTAGCAATTTTTTGATCTAAATCACATAGTTTTCACATTATTAATAGATATTATAGCAAAGACAAATCAACTTACAAAATATTCATCCAAGACATATTCAAAATTTACGTGTCACGTCAGTATTAAATGTCAAATAGGCACAATGTGAACAAGTTGATGTGTCTAAAATATGCATTCACAATGTTGGGATTTTCAGTAGTAAGTTGAGGCCAAAACAAAATCAACTTACAAAATATTCATCTAGACATCTCCAAACTTTATATGTTTTGTCGATGAGACACAACAGAACAAGTTGATGTGTATAGGATATGCATTCTCAATGTTGAGTAGTTCAGTTCTCAGTTGAGACCAAGTTAAGGTGTTTATCTACGTATTAGGAAGCTTATTAGATGAAACTAATCTCCCTTCTGCTATCGAGACAGTAACATCTGGTTAGCATACGAACAACATCTGACATTGATGGCGTATACACCGCGTGGTCCTGGACTCAAAACAGGCCAATATGTATGCATCTCATCACCGTTGCAGGGGAAAATGAGCGCGAAAGTGCTTTATGCATTAAATCTAGTGTCTTATTCTCAGTCTAAAAGATGTTGTTCCGAAATTGTAACATGAAAACAAGTTTATAACAAATTTGAATTTGTTTCAAAACGTTTGAACTAGTTAACATGAGATACACATGCAAAGCATGTCCATAAGATCGTGAACTAGATAAAACAGAACGAAATATCAGAAATCCATCTTGTACCCTACATCACAGTGCAAGGGATATGATCAATCTTGGACAAGTCACATTTCTGTTCACTCAAGGGACATTCACTTATCTCAAGATAAGAAAGCATTGGTGGCATGTCTTCCTTTGGCAACGAAAGAAGCTTTCGACAATCTTTGACCTTGAGATTTTCGAGTGAAGTGAGATTTTTTGCAGCCAGGGAGAAAGAGATTGAAGATTTGATAACTGAACTATATTGAGTGTTTGTAGAGTTGATGGAAGCAACCATTGAGGAAAATGAGAAAGATTTGAACTGATCCCATGAATTGTCAGCCTTCTAAGAGAGGCAAGCCTATGCAATCCCCATTCAGACATTGGCATAAGATTCTTGCAATCTTTGACATCCAAAGACACAAGGGTAGTAGGAAAAACGCCCTCCGTGAAAGATGTGATTAATGGACAGTTCGATAGCTGAAGTTCTTGAAGAGATGTAAGATTCTGCATCCACTTTGGAAGGAACATCAGATTCTCACAGTCGATGATTAGTACTTTTGTAAGGTTTTGTGGAAGGATATCTAGAGGAAAGCATTCGATACAATGGCAACCGTCAACTTCAAAATAACTTAGATTCAGCAGCTTGTTCAAGCCATGAGGTAAGTGTTTCAGACTTGTACAGTTCCCAACTCGTAAAGATTCAAGAAGCATTGTTTCGGTTCTGATATCAGGTAATGCCTCGAGATTGAAGCAGTTCCAAACTGTGAGTGTTTTCAAAGTGTCTGGCAGTTGGCCTCCAGGGAATGATGATATAGAAGAACAATCGAAAATCTCCAATACTTTGAGAGATGTATCGTTGATGTGCATCATCCCTTCAGGCAGAAACTCCAGATTCGGGCATTTCTCGATTGTCAGATGCTGAAATGTGGTTGGAAGCAACTCACTATCTCTTTGAAAAGAAGCTAGCATTAAACACCCGTGGATGGACAAATACTCGAGAGATGAGATACTGTTCATCATAACTTCAGGTAAAGACTCAACACTGCATCCTTGAATGGCAAGGTCTTTTAAGTTTGAAGGAAATATCTTTCCTGCAAAACATTCCAGCCTTGGACAATTTGTGATTATTACTACTTCAAGGGATGTCAAAGTGTGAAGTAACTACGGTAACTTCTGCAGATTATGACAGTTCTCCAGTTCTACATACTCCAATCTGCGAGGCAGATTCTGCCCTTCCTCGGAAAGGGACACTACTAAGTCATAATGCCTAATCACCAGATGCCGAAGCGATGCTAGGAAACATTCAGGTAGATATTCATTTGAAAGATTAGACAGTTGTAATGAAGTGAGTTTTGTTACCACACGCGGGCTGCTAATCAACCTAACATGACAACTCCTTAAGTCCAATTCATTTAGTTGTGCAAGTCGGGGAAGAGAAGAATCCAGTTGTTGACACTCGCAAATCACAAGCTTTACTAGATAAGGAAGGACGTCAGGTAATTCTCCCCGCAGTTTAGGACACTCCTCCAAGTGAAGGTCCAAGAGATTACAGAATGCTTCTCTGTCCCCATCATAACCGAGTAACTGATCTTTCCAACCAACATATCCGTAAAGGATAGAGTCTCTAAAGATGCAAAAGGGGTCAATATGGTTGAAGTATAGCCGAAAAACTCATCACCGATGCTTTTTACCTCACTTAGTCCTTTAACCATGAGATTTTTGAGTGAAGGAAGCTGACCTAGTGACAGGTAGGAATCGACAGCCTTTGCAGTTGATTAAACTCAACGAAACCAGCTTGTGGAATGAAGGACTCGCCGTCCAAGTAGGGAGTTGTGTACCACTGTAACCCTTGATCGTAACATTCTCTATATTATGATGGGGTCTTAACAGCTCAAGAACATCAGTTTCCATTCTAGCCTTCTCTGAGTCCTCAAAACTATCACTCCGTTGAAGCAATAACTCGCGAAGGTGCTTCTTAGTGATCAAACTAGCTCCGTGCGGATCCCAAATGTTATCCACATTTTCCAAATTCAGTATTGAAAGTGAACCCTCAAGGTGAAACAAGTTACTCAAAACACCTATACCAGAACCTTTACTTTCTTGATTGAATGTACCACCATTATTAGTATCTACTGTGAACTCTGTTAATGTCCTATTACTAGAAACATTACAACCCACAACAAACTCTGGTAATGTCCTGAGGCACACCAATTTGTCCAGACCAAGCAAGATCTTTTGTAAAACAGTTCCACTAACATCAAGGTAACGAAGATTGAGCAGTTTCCCCATGTCAGCAGGCAACTCAATGAGATAATAACAGTTGCGTAGTAGCAACTTTGTAGATTGTAAAGATAACTGATTGACTGAGGAAGGTATTTGATTTCTGTGTAGGAAAAATTGAGGAAGCGAAGATGTTTCAAAAATCCAATGGATTCTCCAGCTGAATACATGTTCTCCTGGAAACACTAAGTGCCAAATCATGTACTAGATCATGCATCACAAAGAGAGATCTATTTTGCGTGGATTCTTGGAAAAAGCACCGCGATTGCAGTTCAGTAAAATTTCCATTTCCCACTTCCTCCATAGTTATCTGCGCCATTGGCTGCAAGAACCCTTCTGCATCCAGAGCAAGATCAAATCTTTCTAGTTGAACTCATACCCTTTCGAGAATATTGAACAGTATGCAAAGCATCTTCTTAAATTTGGCGGAAGATGATGGTGGCTCAATCTTAAAGATGGTAGAACAGAACATTTCTTGGAAGGCAAATACCATAAATTGCTATTCAGGACTTCAGTCCAATAAGTAATGTCCAATTTCGAAGACAACATACCTCCTAGAGTCTTGATAGCTAAAGGCAAGCCTTTACACCTCTTAACAATCTCTTCTCCAATTTGTTTCAATCTCGGATTCATCTCCATGCCTCGAACACCAAAAGCATGATCATGTGACATTTCCTGCAAATGGTAAGGTGCAAGCATTCCAGTGATTGATGCAACTCCTTCATTTCGTGTTGTCGCGATTATTTTACTTCTTTTATCTCCCTCGAAGAAAGGGATTAAAAGTTCATTCCAGTCATCACAGCTCTCACACCATACATCATCCAAAACAATCAAAAATCTCTTACTGCTGAACAGATTCTTCAGACCATTCTGAATAATTTCCAAACTATTCGTGTCGAAGGGTTTTGCAGTAGCAGATTCAAGCAATGACTTGGTTATACTTGCTACACTGAAATCATCAGACACCCAAGCCCACACTTTTACGTCAAACTCCTCACAAATTCTCTTGTCATTATAGACAATCTGAGCAAGAGTTGTCTTCCCAATCCCTCCCATACCAATAAGAGGAATAACACAAAATGGAGCAACTCTATTTGTATCATCACAAATCCGAAACCAATAACTCGATTAGTTCCTCTTTTTCAGTATACCTTCCATAAACATGTGATCTAAGTAACAAAGGAGTACTTGGAGTACCCCTGCACATCTTTCCATAACAAAACTTTTTGTTACTTTATAAACCAAGAACATCTTTTTGTTTTGCAATATATTCTAGTCTAGTTATAAGCTCTTCTATTCTTGATTTCATACCGATAAAGTTCCAACTATTACACACCTGCTGAGAAAATTTTTGAGAATCTGGCTCTAGTTTGCATCTCAAGGCTTCAGTAGCTAGTTCATCAAGAATATCCTCAGCTTCAAAGACAGCATCTCTGAGCATATCGATCCAAGTCTCGACCGCTGGATTGAGGTACTGTTTCTCTTCTGCATCATCAAGAACAGCTGTATTGATAAAGTAAGAAATCTTAAGTTTGTCAAGTAACATTTCATTAACATTCCATACTTTAAGTATGTTTAAGATATCCCCTGAAGCTAATTTGTCAAAAAGAACCTTCAGAGCTGGAAATAACACTGCCTCGCACCAAATCATGGCTACCTTTATCAGATTGAAATTAGAGAAAGATTAAGACAGTGTTAAGAGAATTTTGAAACTGTTAAGTGTTCAGAAAGGGTATTTGATGAACTTTGTTTTACAGCAAAGACTTTTACTAAGTAGTTGGTGAGTCAACTTCATGCTGGACAAAATGAAAGAGACATACTAGCTACCAACATTTATGTGGCACTGGTTCGGAGTTTAAGAAAGAAACTAGTAAAACATGTGATCAAAAACAAGTCATAGGAATTTTAAAGCAAAATCGTTTCTAAATAAGGAAGTATGACAATATTTTCGGAAAAAAGGGATGACACATAAAAGGGAATTTTAACTATCCTCCCTCTCCTGCTAAGTACTGCATATTTTCCTCAATTATGCACTTTTAGGACTGGACAGAGCTCGGTTAGACTCCATTTTAGCTCGGTTCCCCTCAGTTACCATGTAATGATATGACACCTCGGCCTAACTCAATCCTTAAAGCTAATGTGGGACTCTAAACCCACTCTAGCAAAGATGATGAATAAGTCTGATGCTTGTTTTATGGCATTTTTAACAAATAAGACCAAAGTCTTCTGGCAAAATCTTTTAAGGTTCACTTTCTGACAAAAATCATCAGAAATTTATTAGCAAACCAATCAAGACAAAGAATGAGTTACAACAAATCCAAACAAGAGGTTCATCAAGCACCATAGAAAATGTCTCTTCATACATTCCATAAAGAGAATGACCTAACTATGGTAACTACATATTCAGACACTAAGAATCAGCTTTATTATCTGTACACATTATTATACAGATTCGGTAAGTAATGTTATTGCATCAGTTTTCACATGATCAGAAACATTAAATTGATTATCGGCCTTCGGCCACAGAGACAGTAATATCATTAACAGACTGAGCTTTGCTGATTTGCGATTGAGTATCAGAATTCAACCATCTTTGAAATATAAATGTAGGTTCCTTAGGTAGAGGCAGATCCGTCTCACTGTTTAGCATAAGAACAACAGACGGCATTGATGGCCTATCAACAGCATGATCCTGGACACAAAGCAGGCCAATATGTATGCATCTCAGAACTGTTGCAGAGGAACTTGAGTCCAAAATTGATTTATCCATTAAGTCTAACTCTTTGCTTTCGGTCTGTAGCTTCCATGCCTGAAATCATTTATACTGTAAGTTTGTGAGAATAACTAGTGGCAAGATATCCTGCTGATTTTTCACTTACATAACTGAGAAGGTTGAGATGATTTTCATGGTCATAAAATCCGCTGTTTTTCTTTCCACTGACAATCTCTAGTAGCAATACGCCGAAGCTGTAGACATCAGATTTTTCAGAAAATAGTCCTCCCATTGCATACTCTGGTGACATATAACCGCTGCAAGAACGTGTTAGTATTTTCGATTATGATGAACTTGTTTGACGAAAGAAAATGCAGTAACTTTGAAAATATTTTGTTAGAATTAGTAGAGGTACTTACAATGTTCCTGCTATCCGGTTAGTGTTTGCTAGCTCTTGAGTTACTTGAAAAGTTCTAGCCAATCCAAAATCTGAAATTTTTGGATTCATTTCATCATCCAAGAGAACATTGCTTGCCTTCAAATCTCGGTGAATGACCCTTAAACATGAATCACGGTGAAGGTAAAGAAGCCCTCGAGCAATGCCTTGAATCATGTTGAAACGTTTCGTCCAGGGAAGCTGATAACTTTTTTTTGAATCTGACAGTATCATTTACCATTGTTAATGTCACTATGTTTGTATGATGCACACCTATGATTGGAACCACTTACCAAACAACAAAGTATCTAAGCTTCTGTTAGCCATGTACTCATAAACTAGTAACTTCTCTTGCCCGTGAACGCAATAGGCCAATACTCGAACGAGATTTCTGTGCTGCAGTTTGGAGATTAGCAAGATTTCATTTTTGAACTCTTCAATTCCTTGTCCAGAGTGACTAGATAATCTTTTGACAGCTACCAATTGTCCATCTTCTAGTTTTCCCTATATGATTTGCAATAGTTTTCACATTAGCAGTGTTAGTTTTTGTTTGTGAATCACCTCAGAGACTGGAATTACCTTGTAAACAGGACCGAATCCTCCAGCTCCAATCTTATTAGTTTCACTAAAGTTGTCAGTTGCAATTCCCAACTTAGCAAAGTCGAGAAGAGTTAGCAATGGTTGTTCTTCCAACAAATTATCTGTAGATGCATTCTCTGAATTCTGAGAACTAACAGCTGGAGTGAGGTCATTAACCCTATTTCTTCTATTTGCTGAAAAGGTAAGCAACCTGAATGTTAAATGACAAACCAACATCAAAGAAGAAAAGAAAGGGAAAACACATACCAATATAACTAATTTCACGGCCAAGCTTGAGACTACTGATCTACATAATTACTATGGTCTGTAATAGAATCCTGAAATCAGGAATATAGTTTACCTCTTTGCTTTGCTTTCCACCTGTAGAAAATGCATCCGAAAATGGCCAATATGAGAACGCTTGAAACGGTTGTGAAGATGATGATAAGTTTAGCCTTCGTTGTAACTTCATCTAAAGCTATGTTATGTCACAATTCAAATCCAAAAGAAAGGTCAACAGAAATCAACTGTAATCTTCTTAACATAATGGTAAGAACTGAATACCTAGTTCAGAAGAAGCAACACGAAGAAACAAATCCACACCATTATATGGAAACTGCTGAACATCTATAAGTTCTGAAGTCCAAACCATGCACTTTACTCCATCTGGATATGCATAGGCTGCACAGGAACAGTTATTCAGGCACCACTCCTTGCAAATCTGAGCCTCATAGTCATAAAAATATGTGTAGTGATCTGGCAGTTTCATCTCTCTCAGCTGCAAGAAGTTGTCACTTTCGGACCCCTTTATAGTATTGCCACTTGCACTGATTTCACATAGAAGTTTAGTTCGCCTCACACAGCCACCAGTCCAATTTCCTCTTATCCATTCATCAGTTGACTTTGGTGCAAATCCTCTCAAGCAATCACAGACTGGAGACTTACCCATGTCACAAACACTGTAAGGACCACAAGTTCCATAAACATCACATGGATTCGCTGGTGCCTCCCAAAAGACGTGCCATGCATTCAGGTCTTCTAGCCATTCCATCATATTCAATAACCCTGATGGTTTTAGGACCAGGATTATAACATCAGAAACATTGAAATTATTGAAACTGAAGAAGGCAGATTCCTGTTGCTTGTTTACTATTACTTTTATATCACTTGCATACCCCTTTTCGTCATCAGGTACACCTAAGAAGTTCCCTCCATCCCATGGGACACCTCTCCAGTAAGGCCTCGAGTAATTATTCCAAGTGAAGATTTGAGGTGGCATTTCTACCGAAAGTCCAATAGTAAACTTTCCAGGTGATGGATCATTTTCAGCCTGCCAGGACGATAAAACAAGTTTTACTCCTGACCTGGTGTTGTATCCAATATTCATTCCTAATAACAAAGTATCACAAGGATAATTAAAACTATCCCATAAAGATGTGCCTGAGACACTGTCTTTAAGAATGAATTCCCCTTCGTCTGTTAGTACAACAGTAGTCTTATTAGACTGAACAGAGATATTTGTAGACCAAATGATATTTTGATTGCCATCCATAATTCTGAGGTTCCCATCACCTCCAATCTTCAAGAATGCAGCTGAGTCAGAAGCTGGGAGTGGGTTTTCTCTATTTGCTACCCATACAATCCTCTGACGAGGAATATTCTTGAACCAAATTCCGAGATATAGACTCCTCGAGTTACTTGGACTGAAGAAGCCCAGCTCAAATATTTTCCCAGCAGAGACAAGTGTCTGATTTAGTGACAGTTGTTGGGATTGTGTTAAGGTATCACTTTCAGCAGAGACTTGTGCTAAAAGCATCCTTCCGAGCATCAGAAACAGAAAAAAATCCCATCTTGGCCATGCCGTTTTCTTTCCTTTTTGGTTCATTCCCAGCCTGAGATGCTCTAGAAATTCAAACAATTAGGCTTTCTATAAGCATCCCTCTGAATCCTTTGACCAATTCTATAGTGGAATTAGTTTAAGATTTTTGTTAAAAAGTATACCACTAGTTTGACATCATCCTTGTTTCAGTTGTCACAGAACCTCCCATTTATTGTTTACTTCATTATTGTCTACTCAAGATCCATCAAAGAAAATGACATTTATTCCCTTTGACCTAAAACTCTCTAGTATATATTATCTAAAGATATTGTAGCTTTGACAAGATAAAAAGAAAATACTTGTGAGAATTCATTCTCACAGTAAGTACCAAAACAACACAACATATAACAGTAACAGGTAACCAATAAGTTCGCTCGCAGAGCATAAAGAAAGGAAAAGGCATTTCCAGTTGTAACAATCCAAAGGATTTTACACTAGACATTACTACTGCGGTCTGCGACAGAATCTGGAAATTAGAAGAATTGTTTACAGAACTATGTTATGTTATATTACAAAAGGTGACAACATAATACAACTTTAATCAGCAATAGTGAGAACTCAAAGGAAGACTTGATAAAAATAATTGTCAAATTTGTACAACCTGTCTATTTCAAGGGTATGCTTAGACAAAAACTCAAAGGAAGACTTGATAAAAATAATTGGTGATAGAAACCAAAAAAGAAAAAAAGTCATTTATAATATTCAGATAAGAGATTAGACCAAGACCAGTATAACATGTACCGAGTGTGCCAGTATAAACAAACATCAAAACACCAGTTTCACAAGAATAAGGAAGAAAATACAGATTAAAGAAAAGGAAAGAACTCAAACTGAACTATGATTTCAATAACAAAACTAAATTTACAACTGATCCAATATGGTCATTTAACAAGGAACCTCCTCTAACTATGGCAATTGAGCACATGTAAACTTCACAAGCTACAAGTATTTTAAGTCCCGCATTGCCAATCGTCACAATTCAATCACTGTCATTGTGTTTTTCAATGTCAGGCCTATGTAATCCACACTATAGTTTAGTGGTCTCTTTATATGGCATTGGGAAACCCTACCCACATAAGATGTCTTTGACGGTAGAGTTTGGCCCAATAGCCATATCTTCCCAAGTGGTTTCTGCAATTTGGCGGACTGTTGCACAAGAACATGTACTGGAGGAAATCTCCTTTATTATTGAATGCAGTAAAGACACGGAGTAAGTAAACAAAGAAATGATCAGATGATGTAGTAGCTTAGACAAGCTGTGTACACGTATTAAAATGGTACATGCAACATCTTCAATTGGTTATCGTCCTTCTGCCACAGATACAGTGATATCATTAACAGATTGAGTTTTGCTGATTTGCGATTGGGTATCAGAATTCAACCATCTTTGAAATATAAATGTAGGTTGCTTTGGTTGAGGAAGATCCATCTCACTACTTAGCATAAGAACGATAGACGGCATTGATGGCCTATCAGTAGCATGATCCTGGACACAAAGTAGGCCAATATGTATGCATCTCAGCACTGTTGCAGAGGAATCTGAGTCCAAAATTGATTTATCCATTAAGTCTAGTCCGTTGCTTTCAGTCCACAGCTGCCACGCCTGAAATCATTTTGAAATGAACACTATATGTTTGTATGAATAACTTGTGGCAAGAGATCCTGCTGATTTTGCACTTACATAACTGAGAAGGTTGTGATGCCTTTCGTGGTCATAATATCCACTGTTTCTCTTTCCACTGACAATCTCTAGTAGCAATACGCCAAAGCTGTAGACATCAGATTTCTCAGAAAATAGTCCTCCCATTGCATACTCTGGTGACATATAACCGCTGCAACACATTTGATATAAGAATGAACTTGTTTGACGGAAGAAATGCAGGAACATAGAAAAATATTGTATTACAAGAAGTAGAGCTGTAGAGATATTTACAATGTTCCTGCTATCCTGTTAGTGTTTGCTAGCTCTTGAGTCACTTGAAAAATTCTGGCCAATCCAAAATCTGAAATTTTCGGATTCATATCATCGTCCAAGAGAATATTGCTTGCCTTCAGATCTCGGTGAATGACCCTTAAACAAGAATCTCGGTGAAGGTAAAGAAGGCCACGAGCAATGCCTTGAATCATGTCGAAACGTTTTGGCCAGGGAAGCTGATGACTCTTTTTTGAATCTGACAGTGTCATTTATACCATTGGAAATGGTTAAGTACTTGAAGAACAAAAATATTTACCATTCTTAAACGGAAAACGACACTATGTTTGTGTGATGCACGCCTTTGAAGGAACCAGAATGTTAAACACCAAATCCAAGGAACATGCACTAAGCCACTGGTCAGTGCCTTCACTGTGCTTTTTTTTTTCTGAAGTATTTGTCTGATATCTTAGAGAAGAATCGCATAAGCTTCTTACCAAGGGCACAACAATTTATAGTTCTGAAACATGTCATAATTTCCATTTCCATAATTTTGACGTAAAGAATCACAAACTATAAAAATACAAGGATTAGAAGTAAAATATGCTGATCAAACCATATGCCATAACATAAATTATAATTGGTACCACTTACCAAACAACAAAGTATCTAAGCTCTTGTTAGCCATGTACTCATAAACTAGTAACTTCTCTTTCCCGTGAACGCAATAGGCTAATATTCTAACGAGATTCCTGTGCTGCAGTTTGGAGATTAGCAAGACTTCATTCTTGAACTCTTCAATTCCTTGTCCAGACTGACTAGATAGTCTTTTGACAGCTATCATTTGTCGATCTTCCAGTTTTCCCTGTATGATATCCGTTATGATGGCTTTAGTTTTCACATAAGCAGCAGTTATTTGTATGTAAAACACTCAGCAGACTGGTCTTACCTTGTAAACGGGGCCAAATCCTCCTGCTCCAATCTTATTTATTTCACTGAAATTATCAGTTGCAGTAGCCAGTTTAGCAAAGTCAAGAAGTGGTAATTCTGATGAATCTTTTGGCAGTTCTTGCTCTTCCCACAAATTGTCTGTAGACATTTCGCTTGAAATCTGACACTTATCAGCCGGAATGTGGTGTTCAACCCTATTTCTTCTATTTCCTGTTTTTTTTTCCGGATCCACATGAGTAGACATAAAAGTTTACAATGAAAACTGGTAATGTCAAAGAAGACATCCAGAATGTTTAACTTGTGTAAAACTGCATGATCTTGCCAATTCCGAGCTTTATTACTTTTTCCGATTTGAAAAGATATATCAGATTAAAGAATTGTAACAGATAGAAAGGTTGCATTTTGGTATTACTTATCAAAAGAAATCTTAATACTTCACGCGAAGATACATACAGAAGCCTAACATGATTTTAACAGAAAGCTTGATAGGAATGTAGAGAAATGTGAACAAATCAGACCATGCTTTGAAATACAAACTCTGCATCAAAATTAGAAAATGGAAACGAAGGTTGAACGGATAACGACAAACTCACTTCATAGAAGAAAGCAAGGAAAAAGGCATTTCCAGTTATACCAATCTAAAGAATATTATGGTGAAGCTCGACAAGACTAGTGTACATAATTACTATGTTGGCTATAAAATACTAATATCAAAAGAATAGTTTACCTCTTTGATTTACTTTCCACCTGCAGAAGATGTATCCCAAGATGCCCAATATGAGAATGCTTGAAAGGGTTGTCAAGCCGATGATAAGCTTTTTCTTCCTTTTATCTTCATCTAAACTATGATCTGTTATAATGCAGAAAGGTGACGATATACAACAATTTTAATCATCTAAGCATAATGATGAGAATTGAATTTTTACCTAGTTCAGAATAAGCAAGACGAAGAAACAAATCCACACCATCAGATGGGAACTGCTGAACATCCATAAGTTCTGAAGTCCAAACCATGCAGTCAATTCTATCTGGATATGCATATGCTGCACATGAACAGTTATTCAGGCACCACTCTTTGCAACTCTGATAATCATAGGCATAAAAATACGTGTAGTGATCTGGAAGTTTCATCTCTCTCAGCTGCAAGAAGTTGTCACTTCCGTACCCGTTTGTAGTATTTTCACTTGTACTAATTTCACATAGAAGTTTAGTTCGCCTCACACAACCACCAGTCCAATTTCCTCTGATCCATTCATCAGTTGACTTTGGTACAAATCCTTTCAAGCAATCACAGACTGGAGATTTATTCTTGTCACAAACACTGTTAGGACCACAAGTTCCATAAACATCACATGGATTACCTGGTGCCTCCCAAGTGACTTGCCATGCATTCAGTTCTTCAACCCATAATATAGTCTGCAATAACCCTGATGGTTTAAGGACCATGATTATAACATCAGAATCATTGAAATTATTCAAACTGAGAAAGCCAGATTCCTGTTGCTTGTTTACTATGACGTTTATACTACTTGCATACCCCTTGTCGACATCAGGTATGCCTATGAAGTTCGCTCCGTCCCATGGTCCACCTCTCCAGTAAGGCCTTGAGTAATTAGTCCAAGTGAAGCCTTGAAGTGGCATCTCTACCGATAGTCCAGAAGTAAACTTTCCAGGCGATGGATCATTTTCAGCCTGCCAGGACGATAAAACAAGTCTTACCCCAGCACTGGTGTTGTATCCAATATTCATTCCTGATAACAAGGTATCGCAAGGATAGTTAAAACTATCCCATAAAGATGATCCCGTGACATCGTCTTTAAGAATGAATTCTCCTTTGTCTGTAAGTACAGCAGATGTCTTATTAGACTGAATAGAGATATTTGTTGACCAAATGATATTTTGATTGCCATCCATAATTATGAGGTTCCCATCACCTCCAATCTTCAAGATTGTATCAGAATCAGATGCTTGGAGTGGATCTTCTCTATTTGCTACCCAAACAACCCTCCGACGAGAAATATTCTTGAACCAAATTCCTATATATAGACTCCTCGAGCTACGTGGACTGAAGAAGCCCAGCTCAAATATATTTCCAGCAGAGACAAGTGTCTGATTTAGAGACAGTTGTTGGGATTGAGTTAAGGTATCACTTGCAGCAGAGAGTTGCGCTAAAAGCATCCTTCCGAGCATCAGAAACAAAAAAAAATCCCATCTTGGCCATACCATCTTCTTTCCTTTTCTGATCATTCCCAGACTGAGCTACTCTCTAGAAATTCATATAAAAGACTTTCCAAAAGCATCCCTCTGAACAACCCTTACTTTGACAAATTCTATCGTGGGAAATAGTTTAGTATTTCTGTTTAACTAGTTTGACATTGTCCTTGTTTCAGTTGTCACAGAACCTCTCTATTGTTTACTTCATTATAGAGGGAAAAGGACATTTTTTCCCTTGACTTCACTCTCTACTATATTATCTGATAGATAAAAAGAAAGTACTTTTCCTTCTCAGAGTAAACATCAAAACAACACAACATGTTACAGTAACCAATAAGTTCGCTTGCAAAGCGTAAATTATGAGATTAAAAAGTATCCAGGTAGGGTAATTCTGAACTAAATAAGCACACATCTAATATGTATCTCAATTAAAGCATAGTTGTATTTAAATATTAAAGTCAACATAATTTGTTTATCTACTCATCCAGTCACAAAGTAGAAAGCACATCATTGTGTTGTCATTGCTGATCACTCCATTTAATGTCAAAGTCTTGGAACCTCAAATGTTCTTCCAATCCATCTCTTTTCAAAGAAATTTGACTAAAAAATTAGGTTGATTGCAGTGTACACACCATCATATTTGCTTGGAAACTTTGATGAGGGGAAAAGTTTTAGCTTTGTTTAGGTGAAATATAAGACTTGGGAAGGTGCGTAGTTAAGCAAGAAACCAAGATCAGGCAGACCATAGAGTTGTAGAGTTTACCACCCTTTTAACTTTACCAGATATAACAGTAAAACAACAACTACGCCTAAATACTAAACAAGTCGCGGTCAGCTATATGAATCTTCATTTCGTTATTTAAGCTCAACACATGTCATATCATCAACACTTCTCTATTTACATCAAGAGATGTAAGAAACAAAAAAGAAAAAGTCGAATCAAGTGATGGAGCTATCTGACCTAAAAAGGAGAAAGAAGTGTTGGAACCTTTTTATCATGCTATACATAATTCAGTACAGATAAAATCTTGAAACTCAATTACATAATTCTTAGTATTTTCCGATTGGTTATCGCCCTTCTGCTGAAGATATAGTAATACCATTAATGGACCTTGCTTTACTGCTTTGTGATTGGGCATCAGAATTCAACCACCTTTTAAATATAAATTTAGGTTGCTTTGGTTGAGGCAGATCCATCTTACTTCTTAGCATAAGAACTACAGATGACATTAATGGCCTATCAACTGCATGGTCCTGGACACACAGAAGGCCAATATGTATGCATTTCAACACTGTTGCAGCGGAACGTGAATTCGATATTGATTTATCCATTAAGTCTAGTCCTTTGCTTTCAGTCCAAAGCTTCCATGCCTAAAATTGTTTTAAAATTAAAAATAGTAAAAAAAATAAGTGAATACCTTGCATAATGATTTTGAACTTACATAGCTCAGAAGATTGAAATGCCTATCATTGTCATAAAAGCTGTTGTTTTTCTGACCACTGACAATCTCCAGTAGCAACACGCCGAAGCTGTAGACATCAGATTTCTCAGAGAACAGTCCACCCATTGCATACTCAGGCGACATGTAGCCGCTGCAATGTATTTGTATAACAAATGAGTCAGACTTGCTACTATGAACTCAAAAGAAAATATTTTGCTTGCAAAGGTAGAGGTATTTACAATGTTCCCACTATCCGATGAGTGTTTGCTAGCTCTTGAGTCACTTGAAAGGTTCTAGCCAAGCCAAAATCTGAGATTTTTGGATTCATATCACCATCCAAGAGAATATTGCTTGCCTTCAAATCCCGGTGAATGACCCGTAAACAAGAATCACGGTGAAGGTATAGAAGCCCTCTAGCAATGCCATAAATCATGTCTAAACGTTTTGGCCAAGGAAGATGATGACTTCTTTTTGGATCTAACAGTGTGATTAACAACACATCTAAGATTGTTATACAATTGAAGAAAACAATGAAGCTTCTCAGCATAAACGTTACTTAAGCGAATTGTGTTGATCAAGCAATAAGCCATTGCAGAGACTATAGTTGGAACCACTTACCAAATAACAAAGTGTCTAAGCTTCTGTTAGCCATGTACTCATAAACCAGTAACTTCTCTTTCCCGTGAACGCAATAGGCCAATATTCTGACGAGATTCCTGTGCTGCAGTTTGGAGATCAGCAAGACTTCATTCTTGAACTCTTCAATTCCTTGGCCAGAGAAACTAGATAATCGTTTGACAGCTATCACTTGTCCATCTTCTAGTTTTCCCTGTATCATAGCAAGAGTTTCCGCATTAGCAGCGTTATTTTCTGTGTGTGAATCACTTCAGAGACTGGCATTACCTTGTAAACTGGGCCAAATCCTCCTGCTCCAATTTTATTTATTTCATTGAAATTATCAGTTGCAACTGCCAATTTAGAAAAGTCAAGAAGGTGTAGTTCTGATGAATCTTTTAGCAATGCTTGCTCTTCCCACAAATAGTCTGTAGCTTCACTTCCTAGTGTCAATGATAATATTAGACTTATCTTCACACATATAAGTATACATTAAGAGAGTCAAACATATAATAACAAGTCTCGGATATGTCATCTGAACATATAGATGCTCGAGACTACTGGTATATATAATTACTCTGTTTGCAATAGAATCTTCAAATCAGGAGAACGGCTTACCTCTTTTATTTGCTTTCCACTTGCAGAAAATGCATCCAAGGATGCTCAACAAGAGAATGCTTGAAACCGTTGCTAAGCCGATGATAAGTTTAGCCTTCCCGTTATCTTCATCTAAATCTATGTTATGTTAATAATCAAATCCAATCGTTCAAAAGAGAAGTGACAACAGACCAATTTAATCTTTCAAGCATAATGTTGAGAAAAGAATTTACCTAGTTCAGAATATGCAAGACGAAGAAACAGATTAGCTCCATTATATGGAAACTGCTGAACATCTATAAGTTCTGATGTCCAGACCATGCAGTTAATTCCATCTGGATACGCATAGGCTGCACAGGAACAGTTATTCAGACACCACTTTTCGCAGTTCTGAATCCCATTTTGATCATACAAATATGTGTAATAATCTGGAAGTTTCATCTCCCTCAGTTTCAAGAACTTGTCATTTTTCGATTCCTTTGGGGCTATATCACTTGTACTGATTTCACATAGAAGCTTAGTTCGCCTAACGCAGCCACCAGTCCAATTTCCTCTGATCCACTCATCAGTTGACTTTGGTACAAATCCTCTCAAGCAATCACAAACTGGAGACTTATTCTTGTCGCAAACACTGTATGGACCACAAGCTCCATAAACATCGCATGGATTATCCGGTCCCTCCCAAGTGACTTTCCACACATTCGATTCCTCTTCCCAATACATAATCTGCAACAGCCCTGATGGTTTTAGTACCACAATCGTAACATGGGAATTGATGAATGTATTGAAACTGAGAATCGCAGTTCCCTGATGCTTATCTGATACTATGTTTATACCACTAGCATACCCCTTGTCGGGATCACGTATGCCTATGAAACTCCCACCATCCCATGGTCCACCTCTCCAATAAGGCCTTGAGTAACTAGTCCAAATGAAGCCTTGAGGTGGCATATCTACTGAAAGTCCAGCAATAAACTTCCCAGGCGACGGATCATCTTCAGCCTGCCAGGATGATAAGGCAAGTTTCACCCCAGTCCTGGTATTGTATCCAATAACCATTCCCGATAACAAGGTATCACAAGGATAGTTAAAACTATCCCATAAAGATGACCCTGAGACATTATCTTTCAGAATAAATCGCCCTTCATCTGTAAGCACGGCAACTGTGCAACTAGACTCGACAGCAACATTGGTGGACCAAACGATATTTTGAATATTGCTATCCATAATTCTGAGGTTCCCATCACCTCCAATCTTCAAGATTGCAGCAGTGAGTGGATTTTCTCTGTTTGCTACCCATACAATCCTCTGACCAGGTATACCCTTGAACCATATTCCGAGATATAGTCTGCTCGGGTTACTTGGACTAAAAAAGCCAAGCTCAAATATATTTCCAGCAGAGACAAGCGTCTGATTCAGCGACAATTGTTGCGATTGAGTTAAGGTATCATTTTCAGCATACACTAGTGGTAAATGCATAATTCTAAGCATCAGAAACAAAAAAAAATCCCAACTTGGCAATGCCATTCTCTTTTCATTTTTCGATCATTTTTTCGGAGAATGTCTTGCTTATAACATGAACTCTTAGCCTTGGTGCTTATTTATCATTCACTTCATTATTAAAAGTGACATATTCTATCAGAGAGTAAATAACAACACAAGACAACATGTTCCATGACAACCTGAACAAATAAGCTCACTTCCAGGACATGAAAAAAGATATTAAAAACCATCCAAATGGGGTCACATCAGACATTATTCTAAGCTAAAAGAAACAAACAATTTATATATGTGGCTCAATCACAAAGGCACAATCATATTAAATATCAAAGTCAACAGAACTTGATTACTACTAATTTAATCGCAAAGAATCAACTAATCCAAATTCGTACCATATATGCCCGCTCCAAAGGAAGATTCTTATTCTCATGACTTGAATTCGATATTTCAAGTTTAACAATGTTTCACATGTTTAACCATTTTGGTATCCAAAACTGACCACTCGACTAATCTAGATTCACACCAGGAATCCCACTCCAAAGGATAAAGTGTCCCCACTGAAAGATTCTCTTCTTTCACATACTCACATCTCGAACCTGACATTTCTGATGACAGAATAAAAAATCCCAATGTGGTGGTTAATCAATGCTGGTTTATCTAAAATTGCAAAGATTCAATCTTTCAAGAATTGATTATACTATAGCACACGAAAATCGTCGAAATGAGGGGTATGCTCGCTTCGGGGCTCGTTTGACCTTCCAAATGGGTCGGACAAGCCGTGATGGCCAACCGTATGCATAAACAAGGTCTTGACGGACGTCCACGAAAAAATTTGGCATTTTTGACGTCGGAATCCGGATCACCCAAAAAATCGTGTGCTATAAATCGTCGAAATGAGGGGTATGCTCGCTTCGGGGCTCGTTTGACCTTCCAAATGGATCGGACAAGCCGTGATGGCCAACCGTATGCATAGACAAGGTCTTAACGGACGTCCACGAAAAAATTTGGCATTTTTGACGTCGGAATCCGGATCACCCAAAAAATCGTGTGCTATAGCACATGAAAATCGTCGAAATAAGGGGTATGCTCGCTTCGGGCTCGTTTGACCTTCCAAATGGGTCGGACAAGATGGCCAACCGTATGCATAGACAGGGTCTTGACGGACGTCCACAAAAAATTTTGGCATTTTTGACGTCGGAATCCGGATCACCCAAAAAATTATGTGCTATAGCACACGAAAATCATCGAAATAAGGGGTATGCTCGCTTCGAGGCTCGTTTGACCTTCCAAATGGGTCGTACAAGCCGTGATGGCCAACCGTATGCATAGACAAGGTCTTGACGGACGTCCACGAAAAAATTTGGCATTTTTGACGTCGGAATCCGGATCACCCAAAAAATGGTGTGCTATAGCACACGAAAATCGTCGAAATCAGGGGTATGCTCGCTTCGGGGCTCGTTTGACCTTCCAAATGGGTTAGAAAAACCGTGATGGCCAACCGTATGCATAGACAAGGTCTTGACGGGCGTCCACAAAAAAATTTGGCATTTTTGACGTCCGAATTCGGATCACCCTAAAAATGGTGTGCTATAGCACACGAAAATCGTCGAAATGAGGGGTATGCTTTCTTCGGGGCTCGTTTGACCTTCCAAATAGGTTGGACAAGCCGTGATGGCCAACAGTATGCATAGACATGGTCTTGACCGACATTCACGATAAAATTTGGCATTTTTGACGTTAGAATCCGGATCACCCTAAAAATGGCGTGCTATAGCACACGAAACTCGTTTGACCTCTTAAATGGGTCGGACAAGCCGTGATGGCCAACCGTATGCATAGACAAGGTCTTGACGGACGTCCACGAAAAAATTTGGCATTTTTGACATCGGAATCCGGATCACCCAAAAAAGGGTGTGCTATAGCACACGAAAATCGTCGAAATGAGGGGTATGCTGGCTTAGGGGCTCCTTTGACCTTCCAAATGGGTCGGACAAGCATTGATGGCCAACCGTATGCATAGACAAGGTCTTGACGGACGTCCATTAAAAAATTTGGCATTTTTTACGTCGGAATCCGGATCACCCAAAAAATGGAGTGCTATAGCACACGAAAATCGTTGAAATGAGGGGTATGATCGCTTTGGGGCTCGTTTGACCTTCCAAATGGGTCGGACAAGCCATGATGGCCAACCGTATGTATAGACAAGGTCTTGACGGACGTCCACGAAAAAATTAGGCTTTTTTGACGTCGGAATCTGGATCACCCATAAAATGATGAGCAATAGCACACGAAAATCATCGAAATGAGGGTTATACTGTCTTCGGGGATCGTTTGGCCTTCCAAATGGATCGGACAAGCCGTGATGGACAACCGAATGCATAGACAAGGTCTTGATGGACGTCCACGAAAAAATTTGGCATTTTTGACGTCGGAATCCGGATTACCCAAAAATGGTGTGTTATAGCACACGAAAATCGTCGAAATGTGGGGTATGGTGGCTTCGGGGCTCGTTTACCTTCTAAATGGGTCGGACAAGCCGTGATGGCCAACCCTATGCATAGACATGTTCTTGACGTAAGTCCACCAAAAAAATTTGGCATTTTTGACGTCGGAACCCGAATCACTCGAAAAATTGTGTGCTATAGCACACGAAAATCGTCGAAATGAGGGGTATGCTCGCTTCGGGGCTCGTTTGACCTTTCAAATGGGTCGTACAAGCCGTGATGACCAATCGTATGCATAGACAAGGTCTTGACGGACGTCCACGAAAAAATTTGGCATTTTTGACGTCGGAATCCGGATAAACCAAAAAATCGTGTGCTATAGCACACGAAAATCGTAGAAATGAGGGGTATGCTCGCTTCGGGACTCGTTTGACCTTCCAAATGGGTCGGACAAGCCGTGATGGCAAACCCTATGCATAGAAAAGGTCTTGACGAACGTCCATTTAAAAATTTGGCATTTTTGACGTCGGAATCCTGATCACCCAAAAAATCGTGTGCTATAGCACACGAAAATCGTCGAAATGAGGGGTATGCTCGCTTCGGGGCTCGTTTGACCTTCAAAATGGGTCAGACAAGCCGGTATGGCCAACCGTATGCATAGACAAGGTCTTGACGGACGTCTATGAAAAAATTTGGCATTTTTGACGTCGAAATGTGGATCACCCAAAAATTCGTGTGCAATAGCACACGAAAATCATCGAAATGAAGGGTATGCTCGCTTCGGAGCTCGTTTGACCTTCCAAATGTGTTGGAAAAGCCGTGATGGCCAAACGTATGCATATACAAGGTCTTGATGGACGTCCACGAAAAAATTTGGCATTATTGACGTCGAAATCCGAATCACCCAAAAAATCGTGTGCTTTAGCACACGAAAATCGTAGAAATGAGGGGTATGCTCGCTTCGGAGCTCGTTTGACCTTCCAAATGGGTCGGACAAGCCGTGATGGTCAATCGTATGCATAGAAAAGGTCTTGACGGACGTCCACGAAAAAATTTGGCATTTTTGACGTCGGAATCCGGATGACCCAAAAAATCGTGTGCTATAGCACATGAAAATCGTCAAAAATAGGGGTATGCTCGCTTCGGGGCTCGTTTGACCTTTGAAATGGGTCGGACAAGCTGTGATGGACAACCGTATGCATAGACAAGGTCTTGACGGACGTCTACGAAAAAAATTGGAATTTTTAACGTAGGAATCTGGATCACCCAAAAAATCGTATGCTATAGCACACGAAAATCGTCGTAATGAGGGGTATGCTCGCTTCGGGGCTCGTTTGACCTTCCAAATGGGTCGGACAAGCCGTGACGGCCAACCGTATGCATAGACAAGGTCGTGACGGACATCCACGAAAACATTTCGCATTTTTTACGTCGGAATCCGGATCACCCAAAAAATCGTGTGCTATAGCACAAAAAAATCGTCGAAATGAGGGGTATACTTGCTTAGGGGCTCGTTTGACCTTCCAAACGGGTCGGAAAAGCCGTGATGGCCAACTGTATCCATAGACAAGGTCTTGACGGACGTCCACGAAAAAATTTGGCATTTTTGACGTCGGAATCCGGATCAACCAAAAAATCGTGTGCTATAGCACATGAAAATCGTCGAAATGAGGGGTATACGCGCTTCGGGGCTCGTTTGACCTTCCAAATGGGTCGGACATGCCGTGATGGCCAACCATATGCATGGACAAGGTCTTAACGGACGTCCACGAACACATTTGGCATTTTTGACGTAGAAGTCCTGATCACCCAAAAAATCATGTGCTATAGCACACGAAAATCGTCGAAATGAGGGGTATGCTCGCTTCGGGGCTCATTTGACCTTCCAAAGTGGTCGGACAAGCCGTGATGGCCAACCGTATGCATAGACAAGGTCTTGACGGACGTCCACGAAAAAAATTGGCATTTGTGACGTCGAAACCCGGATCAGCCAAAAAATCATGTGCTATAGCACACGAAAATCGTCGAAATGAGGGGTATGATCGCTTCGGGGCTCGTTTGCCTTCCAAATGGGTCGGACAAGCCGTGATGGCCAACCGTATGTATAGACAAGGTCTTGACGGACGTCCACGAAAAAATTTGGCATTTTTGACGTTGGAATCCGGATCACCCAAAAAATCGTGTGCTATAGCACACGAAAATCTTCGAAAGGAGGGATATGATCGCTTCGGGGCTCGTTTGACCTTCCAAATGGGTCGTACAAGCCGTAATGGCCAACCGTATGCATAAAAAAGGTCTTGAGGAACGTCCACGAAAAAATTTGGCATTTTTGACGTCGGAATCCGGATCAACCAAAA